AAAAAAAAAAAAAAAAAAAAAAAAAAAAAAGAGGTGGGGGGAGATGAGGGAAGAGAAAGAGAGAGAGGAAAAAACCCACCCTGGGCCTGCACATTGCAGCTTACCGCCATCTTGATGTCCTTGATGCGTGCCGATGGCGTGGAGGCGGCTGGCACCAGATCAGCCCAAGAGAAGGAATGAGAGGCCAATGGAGATTTATGTGAGGAGAGTGAGATGGACAAGGTAAAATTGTCAGGAGGAGTTGTTAGAAAGTAAAATATATTGTGACAATTCCACTCCTGCCGTTCATCAATAAACTGACAGATCATTTAGTGTCAATTAGGAGTGATAGATGGACAAGTCCCCATGATCCTGGGCCAAAATTAATGGCTGGGAGGGAGAGGGTGATTGAAAATGACGGCTGACATTGAGAGGAAAGTCCTGAAGGTCCCCAAGGGGCCATTACTTGCCTCATTCCCTTGCAGATCAATGCAGGGACAAACCCAAAAACAGACACTTCAAGACAAAACTTAATCAGACTTCCTTTTCTTTCTTCTCCTTCTAAGTTGTGCCCCCTCACTTGGCAGCCTTGATCCTTTGTGCCTATACTCTTCACATCATTGAGGACATCCACACATGGCTGGAAGATGCAGAGTGAAGCTGCCGTCTTCCCCACAGTCAGGAGCCTGGCCCCGCTCCTAACCTGGCAGTGTCACAAGGAAGCCCAGCCTGAGATTTACCTCAACGCTGCTGGACTGGGAGTAGAGGGCAGAAGCAATGACACAAGCTTCCCCCTTACCGTGTCAGATAGAGAAACTCATGAGCACGTTACTACTCCCACTTGCAAGACAGGGATGGCTAGAGGTTCAATAAACCAGGCACTCTCAAGGGTCATTTCATATAGATACAACACACGATAGTTTAAGCCCATATTTTTGAAACAGGAGGTTTTTAACTTTACTTACCTCTAGAGACCCAGAATCATAAAACCCCTTAATCTCTTAAACAACCTTCCTCCAGCTCCAGGGTGCAATCTCACCATTGCCCACCCTCCAGAGCCCTAAATGATATCTACACAGAGGCTGGGTTACCCTGCTCTAAAGGTCACCCTGACTGCATCCCCTTCCTTCCCACCAGCCCTTATAGTCGCCTTCTTGTTAAATGCATTCCTGGACACCGTACCACCACTTCTGTTCCAAAATAATTCAGCATGGTCATTTCCTAACCAAGCCTGCCTTGATCATTCCAACTCTGTATGATCTATCAGTCAGGAAGGAAAAATCCCAGTTGTAGCTAGAGCACCTGTTGCTAAAGTGCCATGATCCCTGTAGAAGAAAGGAGGTACACGTCAGGCACGGGAAGGGACTCCCTACTGAAAGCAGCACTTGGCATTTTCTTGCAGGGCCACCTGAAATGAGCTGTGTTTACTCCATAACAACCCTGGCTGCTGCCTGCAGAACTGTATGAATTTTAAGGGGCTGACTGCAAGACCAAAGGGATCAAGGACCCAAGTGAACTGGAAGCGTCCCGAGAAGCAAATAAATAAAGATATTAATAGGGAGAAAAATGGAAGAAATTCTACAAGGAAAGTCGGATAAATGAGATTAACAGAAGCTGGAATTAAATGGATTTGGGAAGCACCTCTCCTTACCAAATCCTCACTACTATGGAAAACTGACTTCTCTTTTCCTTTTCCCACTGGCAGGCACTTTGTGTTTCTTCCTTCTGATGCATGAGATAACCTGACAATAAACCTCTGCTTTGCTTGTCACAAGTGTCAACACTGATGTCATTAAGGACATCAGCACAGCATTCAGAATGGCACTTGGGCTCCATCCAGTGGTTAGAGAGCTGCTTCTGTAGCAAAACCAGCTGTAATTACTATTATTTATGTAATCTCAGCAGGGTACTAGGCCCCAAGTGGCTGCCTAGGTTCTTGGCTGGTCCCCCGTCCTTTAATACCAGGGCTAGAATATTGCTGGGGCAGCAATGGGACTTCGTCTTCTCATAGAAAGTGATTCTTCTCTCTGAGCACAAATTTAAATAAATACAGCAAATTCAGGTGCTGAGGGCCCTGACAATAAGGACAAAAGATTCTTCCATCATCACTACTTTACACCACTTATTTGCTGATTGCAGAGGACAAGCCCGAGGGTTTGCTTAGACACTTCCCTCCAGTCCCCATCATTATCCAGATTTACAAAATGTGACTCTTAGCAATGACAGCTGTTCTATGGAGGTTCTAGGGTCCAAAGTAATCTTTCCATGCTTGACTTTTAAAAACTTACCAGTAAAAAGACAGCACTTTGATAGTTCTTCGGAATTTAAGTATCTGACACTTGTAAATGCTATGGGAACTCATAATAAAATACTTTTTCACAGATTGGTATGCAAGTAAGATAATTAATTTCAAAACTAAGTACAAGTTGAAAAACTTTAGGGGCCCTCCTCTTCTATCTTGAACAGTCTGAGACAGCAATAGTCTAATGGAAAGAATCAGCAAGATGGTGAGAATATTTGCAAGTTTACCTAAGTATGACAAGAGCTGGGCAGGTAAGGGACTAAGGAGGAGCAACAAAGGTAGAAAGACAGAAAAATAGATTGCAAGTATGTGCCAAATGGAAACACAAAGAACCATTTCAAGTGATCATTTCACATTGATAAGACTCTGAAGTAGAAATACAGCAGAAAAGTGTTTAAGTGTCCCTGCAGGAAAAGTAACAAGTGGCAGTTGCAACTGGCTGAATGTGTCAGAAACAGAACTAAAAGCTTAGACCTCAAATGGGGAGAGAATAACACATAAACAGTACAAGATCATTTCACAAGTAGCTGCAGTATCCCATCCGAGCCAGAATATATTTATACAAAACAGACAATCTAACTGTAATCACTCTGCTCATCCTTCCTCAGTAAAAAAAAATCATTAAAAAAAAAAATCACAGATTTTAACACAGTTCTGAAAAGCAAATTACGTAAAGCAGTACAATTCCCAAGTGTAGGCTCAGTTACACTGGCATAAAAGTGCTTATACCTACATCAAATATATCAATAGAAGCATGTTATTCTAACTACATCTACATTAGTGAAATTGGAGCAAGTCAACTTGACGGGCTTCCAAACTGAGTCAAATTGGTTGAAAAGCTGTGGGGAGATAGAGCCTGAGAAAACAGAAACAACAAAGCTACAGTAACTTGGTATGACATCAGCCGATGACTCAGACTTTTCACATGAAGGCTTTACTCTGGGATATGTCACAAAGACAGCCTTACAGGCCAGCATCTCAGACTTTTTTAAGGGAGAGAAAGAGGGAGCTCAGCCTAGGGAGAACACACAGCTGAAGGAAAGAAAAGACAGGGGAAGTAGTTGTACAAAATCCTTGTACCTCATATGACTAAAGAAAGTCAGAACAAACCTCCCCTTTGTAAAATTTATTCAATAAAAGCTCCTAATACAAATTAAAAGAATGCTGTCAGATATGACATGATATCATATGCATGACTGAGCAAGGGGCACATCTTCATCTTGTGTCCCACTGTGCAGGGTCTCACAGGTAGAAAGGTCTGCAGCCCTCCATCTCCTGTTCTGCCTCTTCAGCTGAATTGCGTTCAACCTCATGGAAGCATTTACTCCAGACACCTGCTATATCTGTAAACCATGCAATTGGGATGCTGGAGAAGCACCACCGATAACTACTGCTCCAAATCTATCCAATGAGGCTAATGTCAAACAATGAAAAACATCCTGAAGCAGCACATGGCACAGTGCTGTTACACTAGGAACCTGTACACTGTCCTTCAGGGCACATTAGGCACAGCCCTGAATAACCTCCAATCCAGTCCTTCACCTAGCCAACAATTACAGAATTTATTTTTCTTAAACAATGCAATTCACCCTTGTTCTCTGCTATTACATTTCCATAAAGCTACTGCTTGGTCCTACAGAGATTTATGATCATTGGTGGCATTTTTTTATAACCCTGAGGTGGATGCACCTTTGCAATGGCAACTTCTAGCTGCAGCCAGCCTATGCAAAATAATACCATTATCGGAGTTGAACTGGAGAGGAACTGAAGGAGCTCAGGCTGAGATCTTCATCCCTTTGCTTTACTCCAGTCTCCAGATTTTCAGCCAATTTATTCTTCAGAGACAAACGTAGTGATAATTTTCCCAGAAAAGTACTATTTTCTAGAAAGGCTACCCCAGAAAATAGACCAACTTTCTCACCTCCCAGGAAATACCAACTGTATAACAGGTTTACGGATGTCCTCTCCCATTCTCAGTATTCCAGGACAGAAAATAGATAACTTTTACATAAATGAGAGTGCCTCCAAAGACATAGACACTCTTATTATAGGCCTTAATGCATACAAGCAATCTCACGCCACTCCATAACTGAGCCATTCAGCTCTATATAGGAAATATAGCACCAGCATAACTTTACAGCTTGAAAAATAACAAATAGCTTGAAACCACATCCTTCTGGACAGTCCTTCAGTTTTCACACCCATTCTATTACCATGTCCAGATACTTCCTTTCCCTTAGGTGTCCTTCATAAGCATCAGACTTCTCAACTTGCACTCTACAATTTGTATACTTTTTTCCTCCCATCTCTTCTTGCTGACCATCTCCATCCATCTCCATTATACCATAACCCCATACACACATAAACATTGACAAATTTCACCTTTGCTGTCAAGGCTGATCACTAAATCCTGAACGGTTCATTGCATTCTTGTCAGTGGGGCACTGTCATGTGTCACTCTCCTGGAAAGGACACAACCAGTCAAATCTCCCCTCCCAGCTTCTGCATTTAACCAATTTATAAAGAGCATCAGCCAGCAGAACCAAGCAAGAGCAATACTTCAAATGGTTCGAAGGAGCTACAATGATACCGGACACACAGGCCACCTACAAGATCCAGAAAAAACTGTTCCAATGCCTGTGACAACAAAGCCCCACTAGTGAAATTCATTTAATCCATGCCTAAGCCCCCCTTAATAAGGAAAGAGGTGAGGACTTACTTGGTAGTTGCTGCTACAGGATCATCTGCCCAGCCTCCTTGCCGGCGTGGGGGTTTAGGTGGTGGGCCCTTTAATAGAGAAGAGACATGTTACAGCCAGGTCCAGTCAAGGCAAAGTCAAGCCAATTGAGACACCAGATCCACACAGTCTAATGTAACATTTTACCAAATAATAGATGGAGAGATAGCATTTAAAATGCCGTTTATTCATAAAACAAAAGGAAGACAAATATTGCAGGACAGGTTTTTAAGCATCTCTGTAAGCAAAGATGTATCACTAATCAGTATCTTGACAAGCGTCAGCTCTCTGTGCCTTTGACTTGTCCAGTACATTAGCAGACTGATCCACAGAGGATGCGCTCTCCTGGCAAAACACGGTTCACTGGGACCTTGTTTGTTACTGCTGCTCACATTTCAGTGGGAGGTATCACATGCTACATGTTTCCTAGGTTCAGCTCTTTTTAGAAACCTAGTTTTAGATAAGGAATTGTTCCTAAAGTGTCTGCTTTCGTCCACTGCCTACAATAGGAGGTTAGATGCCAAGTTCAGATACAGACAGCCATACCAAACACCTCTAAAGTTAGGTGAGATGAATCCCACCACTGAAATCATACAGAGCTTGAAGACCCTCCCTGCTATTTTCTTGCATTTTCTTGTGTGATACTCTGCTGTGCCGCAAGAGAAAATGGGAATTCAGCGTGGGGCTTACAAGGGGAATTTTCAAAGAGCAGGGCCATGATTTCCCACTGTATGGGAGCTGCCAGCTGCCTGTGGCAGCGTTGGGCTCAGTTCCCCCAGCCTGAAGCACCTCGTTCAGCAGTGGCTTCAGTGTTTACACGCCAGGCAGTGGTGAAAGCAGAGGGGCAAAGCGAGCCCAGTGCATGAATGTCAGTTTATATAGCTCCCAACTGATGGTGCCCCATGAGGAAGACGGGTTATGGGGACCTGTGAAGGGACCATCATGAGAAAGGATGATTGGGTAAAAAAAATCCCAAAACAGGGAAAAATGGTAACTGCAAAAGAGTCTAAGCTGCGAGACAGGTGGCTCCCACAGCTTTTATTAAGAAATGGAATGGGTTGGGTGACTCCTGAAGATTTTTGACTTGACAGAGGGGACCTTGCATGTGTGGTGGGGTCAACCCTGAGCGAAAGCCAAATTACCTCTTGCCACAGATGAGGCAGGGGCTGAGCTAACCCCTGGTGGTAGGGGTCTCCCGTGTTTATTTCTCGAAGCAGAAGCCTTGTTTGTGAGTGTGGGAAATGAAGAGAGCCTGCCAGGGGCAGCCGCTGCCTGCTGCAAGGAGGGGGCACGACCCTGCATAGCTCCCTGATAGAAGCAAAAATAGTCATCCTCCAAAAATAAACAGGGAGCAGGAATGAGGCAGGAGCTGCAGTCCCAAAATACCAGCTTTCTTCAGCAAAGGGAGCACAGGAGGGCAGAGGGACAGGCAGGGAACGTGAAACGCAGGAAACAGCCTCCTTATATGGGCTCATCCGCAGGGGACAGAGCTCAGTCGACTGGAATGACCATGTCACAGAATGTGAAGCCTTCAGGGGCCCAAGTGAATGGAGTTTTCTGATCTTTAAATGATTCCCCCAAATTCTTAAGATGCCAAACCAGAGAAGAGGCTACAGTGCCAAAAAAGGAGCATTTTGAATTCAGTTGATCTGGACACACCCAGAGCCCAGGAAAAGGGGAAAAACACACCACATATGGGCGTGCATGCCCACATAAACATCCCTATTCCCATTACACACACCCCTACCTCAAAAACACACTCCATCCCACACAGATCCTTCCCATGCAAACAACCCTTCTCCCCTCACACCGTCTCCCAGATAGCCAGCGGGCCATATTCCCAACACACTGCCACACAGCTCCTCACAAAGGTGCATGGAGTTACACAAATGTCACCAAAGAACCTGGGCCATGACGCTGAGGGAAAACACAACACCTCCACAGCATTCCAATACACCTGCAATTTAATTCCCTCATCATCAAAACTAGCCTTCAGACCTAAGACATCTCAAGTTGGGTACTCCAGATCAAAGGGTGACATGAATGACTGCCCCAGTCTTTGCACAGGGCATGACTCCACGGCATCTAGGGGTTTGATTCCAATGTCTTGCCAATGTTATGATGTCTTCTCATTGATAATACACACCAGGAAACCCTAAATGTCCGTCAGACCCTGACAAACATCTCACACATACCTACAGGTCCTTTTATTCCTCTTGCAGTAAATCAGGTAATTATTTTTGAACTGCCCACAGGAGCACTAGCAACAGGAAAGGCAATGTTAACTGTCAGCTGAGGATAAATAGCTTTTCTTTATTACTTGCCTGGAAAGTGCCGTAATAAGGTCACATGCCACATGCACTTTTGTCAAGTAAATAAACTTACCTTCATATACTTTCACATTTCCAAAACCTCAGCATAATTTACAATTGAGAATGCAATGTTGTGCATTGCCACAGTATGGTGACAGGTAGGGACATTGCAGCTGCAAGCAAGAGCTTGAGGCAGAAAGTGGAAAGAACGTCAACTCTAGAGGGAGCAGAACAGAAACAGAGGACATTGTTCTTCTGTAATAGAGCAAATGTGCTCCTGAACCCACCTTTTTCATGGAAAAAAATGGGGACTTCAAATGATCAGAACTTATTGGTACCTATATATTATACTTGGGCAACATTTCTATGTATGTTCCCAAATGCAAAGCTAAGCTATACACCCAAACGGTTTGGTGTCCAAACTCTGAGATTGCACCAGCTCCTGAGAACAGTGTTCTCTCTCAGCTCTTGCTGCTCAGTCTCTTTTCCACCCAAGTTTTGTCAGTTATTTATCTCCAGAAGATTTCCTTCACCTTAGTTTCTGCAGATCATACACTTTTTCAAGTAACATTGCCGTGGTCTGGACCCTTTATTTTATTCTCTCTCAGAAATTCAGTTCAGCATTTTTATGATGGCACTTTTCCAGTATTTCTCATGCCGCCTTCCTTACCAACACTTCTGTCCTACCACCATAATCAGTATTTTATCTCTCCCTTTGAAAAATCACTGGCCTGAATTCCATCTCTCTTGCCTTAAAGTAGAAACTCTACCTTCTTCTTTATCTGTAGTCAGGCCCTTTCTTATCAGACAGATGCAGAATTCTAATTTGGTTTCCCCATTAAGGCAGAAATTTCCAGGCCACTTGTCAGATCATGTCTGCAATTTTCAAGGTGCTAAATTGGATGTTGCTTCCCTCATGGAAGGAACTACCCTGTGTGTCTCTGGATCCTGAGTGTCCAAAGTTTCTTTTTAGGACCTATCACAACACAGGCAGATTATGGACATGTTGGGTCCCTCAGATTCTCAGACGGGTCTGGAAATATGGATTAATTTACCCTCATCAACATGACAATTCCTTTGAAACAGTAGTGCACTCTGTGCAGGGAAAGAGGGACTCAAACAACATTGAAAGCTTGCAACAGAGGACGTACAATTTTCTGTCATGTAACACATCTCCTAAAATGTATGGAATCTATATTGCACCCAATATACAAACACTGTAAGATTTTATACAGTATGTAGGTGCCTTGTTTTTATTCAATATTGACCACGGAGCAGAAAGAAAGAAGTATGGCCAGTCTCAAGTTCCCTCTTCACCAGCAAGTTGCCTGAGGCCCCCCCGACTGAGGAAAAGCAAATCTCCACAAACAGACCTGATGAGTCAGTTTTGACTACTGCCAATTAAGCTCTAAGTCAAATAGCCCCACTGCTTCCAAGCAGCCACATCATACTTAGAGTCTATACCAATCTCAGAGCATACGTAATATCAAAAAGGGCTCCATTCCCAGATCTATGCAAGCCTCAGCTTTTTTTGCAAAGAACAGCCCATCTCTGCTAGCTCTCTTTATCACGTCCACACACGGTTCAAGTAGTGCATCTGATTTCAATGAATCCCCTCCAAGAACTTCTGCATGTCTGAAATCCCTAGTAGAAAATACTGGATTTCCGTTTCATCCACAAACTGTCCTTCTTCATGGTCGCTGACCTTCCTTTACAAGGGAAAGTGCTATTGAGACAGAAAAAGTTTTTGAGGGGCTTTAACTATTCTGTCACCTATCACAGGAGGTAAAAGAGCAGCTCATAGTGTTAAACAGCTATTAAGAAATTATTTGCTAAAACAACTGTCAGCTATCTAGTCAAGCTTACCTGTGCTAAGAAAGCTGTCATATTGCTGCATTTGGCACCTTATTTTGTCTTCAAGAGTTACTGCTTTCCTCTGCATGAAAATAGTGAAGCACAAAACCAATTGCTTCTCTGAGCAAGGGGTTACCAGGCAGAATGCTCTCACAACCCTCAGTTATGGGGCAGTGCCCCTCCAGCCCTCCAGGTGTGAACATCTCTCAAACAGTTTGCTATGACCTCGTGCTACATACTGTCAGACATGTTCCCACCTATCCCCATCACTCCTACAGTTCTTCTGCTGCATTCAGGTGGGTCCAGGAGGACTCAACACATGAAATAAATGTGTGGAAAAGAAAAGGAAATGCTTTTAATAACATTATTTTTGATGGGATTGTCTGTAATCCACATCAAGGTAGCCAAGCAGGGAGGATACTACTAGAAAGGCTGGGAAACATGGCTGACTAGAAATGCTATTTCAGTAGATGTCATCAAAAGGCTAGTAGATAACCTCAGAAAGCTGAAAATAACTGCCCTGCTGGCCAGCCACTCGGGGTGCACGGGAGAGAGGCAGCGCAAGGCCTTGGGGAGCTTCAGGCCATGCAGTGCTGGGGCTCACACTGGGGAAGTTGGCCTAATTAGGGAACAAAAGTTCAGCTGCATTTTTTAGATTCCTCCTGGAGAATCTGGCCAACTTCCAGCTGAGCGGTCCCCGGGAACAGGCTGGGAGTCCAGCATTTGTACAAGAAACCAGAAGACCACTGGAAAAAAAGAAGCAATCTCTGTAAAATGGAAGCAGGTAAAAAAGCCAGTGCCTCCTTGGATGCTGGTTGGCTTTGGTGGAGGGTGTTTATCAGCATGATGCCAGAAACCAAACAGATGACAGAAACTCTGAGACATGGAGGGACAAATTCAGCTCAGCCCAGGACAAACACACAAATGGGAGGGCATTCATATTGTGCAACAGCTACGGGAAATTCTGCCTCAGAGAACCCTCCCAGGTTCTCAGAGATGCCAGTTGCTTCAAGAACTATCTACTGCCAGTCCACCTCACTCTCAATTGCCTACCTAAGAAGGCAAAAGCCTGGCAACATGGTATATACAAAATGCAGCTAAACCCTGGTGAGGGCTCTTCTACAAGCTGAAGATCACAGGGGAGAACAGGATGCTAGAGAAAAACAATGCAGTCTCACTTCAAGGTCTTTGGGGACAGGAAATTTTTGTCCCAACTACACCACAACACTCTAGATTTCACTGCAATGCAAGTTGTAGATACAAAAAGGCCCGTAAGGGACTGCATTACAATTATACATGACTTTGTAGATCGTGAACTCTCTGAACTAGAGTGGCTGCACAATGCCTAAACCACTGTGATTATTTTTACACAAATAAGGTCTCCAGTAAGCACCCAGCTGAGTATAGCCAGAGCTGGGCTCCTCAGTCACACGTTTCTAAGTTTCAGGGGATTTTCAGTGAAATTCAGTGAAATTCATGTGGGGAGGAGCACTTGGGGGGTGGCTGCTGGGCAGATCCAGACCAGACCAGACAATGGAATGAGAATTTGGAGCTAGGTGCCAACCACTGTGCAAGGGTAAGAACTGGGTCAGGAAAATACCGCTCTGATTAAAGGCCCTGATCATATCAAGCCTCAGGCCATGTCTACACCACAGGTGCAGACACACCTGCAAGCAGGATCCATGTGAGTCAGCTTTGAGTCTGGAAACGGTCTAGCTTTAGGTACTTCTGGTAACCAAGCTGGTACCTCCCCAGGTAGAGTGCAGGTTGCTTCTCACCAGGGGGGTATCTGCATCATTTTGCACTATATTTTGGGATGCAAATACACTTACTCAAAGAACCCCACTGAACTGGGCAAGCTAGCAACTTAAGTCCACAACTGGCTTTACGTTTCAGGTAGTTAAATTTTTTTGATAGTTGTTCTTCCAACATTCATTGAAAACAACTGTTCCTGATGTGTTGTCTTAACCTTAAAAGCAACAGCCCATTTTTCCACCCAACTTATTTTAAAAGCACTGGGAACTAGAACTACAGGAAGATTTGGCTGCCCCCTCTGGAAAGGTCAGATCCTCAAATCCCCTTTCTAATTGTTGCCTTAAAGCATGTCATCACTCAAATTTTGAGTGATATAGTACCACAGAGGTCAGCATCCACCTACCTAAGAGTCAGAAATCAGGTGCTTTCCCCGCCTTCATCCATGAAGGACCTTGAGACCACCTACAGCATATCTGCCAAAGCACAACTTGAGAACAAGGTCCCAGCTGGACTCATTAGGACTGGAAGAGATGTCTTCCTGCTCAAATGTTGTTGCTTTCAGTTAGAAAGTCCTTCTCTGCAGCCCAGAAATTCTTTCAGTTCCGTTTGCAAAGTAGAGAAGCTTTAGGAGAAAGGACTGAGAGCCTTCTGAGACCCAGAACAGCTCATAGCTTTGTCATTATATATAATATTCTCTAGGGAGGTGGAAAATATTACTTGATACATCTTTCAGGAAGAGGACAATAAAATAAGTATCTTCCAGCTTGGAGAGGAGATGGTGGGTTTAATCTTTAAGTTTATGTACAAAGACTGTGCCTTCAACATTGAAATTAACAGTGTATCCCTGGAGGTCCCCAAAGGCAAGGAAAAGCCCTGCTCCACTGCTGAAGGCTACAAAACACACAACGGGGGTCAGGATCACTCACTGCTAGTGCAGGGACCTGCACTCCCAGAGCTCTCAGAATAAGGACAGAACTCCATGGAAGGACAGGATTTCAGACACTGCAGTCCCCAGACACTCTGTACCACCTTAACAGATCCACGGGCCCTTCCTGAGATTGTCTACATACCACACAGGCACCTAATAAAGCTGTGGATTTTGCTACGAGGCTAAGGCATCTAAATCCCCCTGTGGACCTGCATTAGGGAATCCCCACAGTTCTTCTGTATAAGGCTCTAGCTCTCCTAGGTCTCCTCTAGTCCCTGGAGGGACTTCTCCAAGGCCTGAAAGCAAGTCCATGGCAAAGCCAGGAAGAGAACCCAGCAAAATCTTGGCTCACAGCCACGTTCATACTCCTCCTGCCTATTCTGCCTCTGCAAATTAACTGAGATATTAGGATACACCCGTTATTATACCATTGATCAGCCCTACAGCCTTTGGCTAAATGTCCCAGGCAGCCTTGGAAGGTGCAGCCAAATGAGTGATTCAACTGGCAAAAATTCAGATCCAAGATGAGCGGTTTGCCAGGGGATGCAAAACAAGTCTCAGAGCAGGCAGATGGCTGGAGGGCAGGACTTCAGCAGGTACGTTCACATCGACAGCCCAGATAGGACTGTTTGCTAGTATTCAGGCAGCCACAAAGCAAGTTCAGCACAGCAAGAGGAAAGGGACCAAATCCAGGAAGAGTTCAGATTGTAACACTCAGCAGGGCCCAAAGGGAGTTCAGAGAAGGGTTACATGAGCCATCAGGGGGACGAAGGGGCCAACTTCGGACAAATGATTCAAGAAGCCAAGTATTTCAGCTTGGCCAGGCAATGACTAAGGGAGGGATATACTGCAACAAGTTTTGGATCACACTTTATAATATAAAGTTCCAGTAATAATTGGTTTGGAAGAGACTTACGATACAATTAATAGAAGTTTGTTAGCATATATTATTATAAGTTACAAGCAGCTTACTGATCAGTTAGATTTCTCAATGCTCGGTTAACCATTTTGTTACCCTTCACAGGCATTTGCAAATGAAAAAATACTATAAAGTGTGACTGTGATGCTTAAGAACACAAGCCTGAATAAAGGGTGCAGGAATTATCCAAACAAGAGGGATTTCAAAGCAGGAATCACTTTATACTAAGGAAAATCTCCTTGCCAGGCACCATTGCATAACATCCCTGAAGCAACATCAATTGCTCATGTGGAAGAGTCACATCAGTTTAGTTATTTTAATGAAATTTAGCAGCCAGGAGCAAGAAGGCGCCTGTGGCATGTGACCAGCCACCACTCGGTACAGCAGACCTTGGGAATCAATGATTTAGGGCACTGTATGGAGGTGGAATTAGTTCCAGTAAAATGACTGTAAGGACTGGTTCCAGTGGGGGGGAGGGGAAGTTTAGATCAATTATCAGGAAAAATTTCTATTGGGTAACCAGTCCCCAAAACTATACCCATCAGTGGGAAGTCTCTTTGCCTGATAAATGGAAAAGTGCTCTGGGCATAGTCCTGAACCATCCATCAGTGATGAATAAACCCAGTGGATCTTTCCTACAATATCAACTCTAGCACTACCAAGAGAAAACTGAGCTAATCTGAATAGTCTTGACTCCTTGTGATAAGCATACCCTTCTGAGGCCAGAATTAATGAGATGGGTGATAGGGGTTTCTTTTCTGGGCCTTAGATTTCACAAATGAACCTACTATACTACTAGTAGTGGGCTGGTACTTCAGCAGAGGGAATTAAGAGTACAGGAGAAGATGCTTTAATTGTCTAACATATACAGAGAGCAGCTCTAGCCAGGAAAAATTGGGCAACGCCAATTCCATGGTTAGGAAGAGTGCAAGACAATTAGCCCAAAAGCTTAACAGAAACAGGCCCTATTTCTTAGGTTATTCTGAACAGCACCACCCTGGCTTCTAAAGCCAAATGAACATCAAGACATATTTTAGCTTTGCTGCAGGACAAGAAAGGATATGGGTATTCCTTTTCCCTGTATAACAGGAGCCTGGTAAGAAGCACTATGCCATCCTATTAACCACAGATAGTAGCACTGCAGTGCTGGTGCACTAAAAAGGAAAAGACTCACAGAAAAGACAAAGGCACACATCCTTGTTACTACTGGCTGGCCTTCTCCTCTGGGACACCAGCAAGACTTCATAATCCCTGAACACAAATTTTCATGTTATGGGAGCAAGTTAATCATACTGGACAGCAAATCTAGGCTCAAGAACGTTTTGTACTCTATTAGCTAATTGCTGCCCTGACTTTTAAATGAAAATAGAGTATCTTTCCAGTGGTCAGATATACACCTGTGACCTCACAACGAGGTGCAGCAGCTGACAAGAGCAGCTGTTACAATGACAATAAAAAAACCTGTCAGCAACAGGAACAGAGGATGCAGGAAAGACACTGCATCTGAGGCAAACTTTGTCTTGCTCTCCAAGAGTCCCCTCTTAAGGTAGTCTCCAGACACATGAATAGGTTAGTCCTTCTAGTCCCCTTCAGAGGAGCCAGCATCTACCTAGAAAACCTCTAGTCTTACATGGTCAACCTTTTCCTCAGGGTCTTCATCCTAGAAGGATAAGGAAGGAAAAAGAGAGAAAGAAGTTAAAAAGAAGAACTATGGAAGCCTGCAGAAAATAGCTTGAAGATCGATACGAATGGCTGTCCCGCAGCACATGTTTTGCAACCTTATTCACCATTGTGAGACTTTATATCCAGTCATTTATGCATATACCAAGTGTGATGCTATAAAGCATGCCTGTTTGACTGCAACAGCAGGAGAGTCTGCCAGCAATCAGACCCTTGAAAGTCATGCTAAAGAAAAAAAAAACCTACAAGTGAGAGCAGGAGAAGAGAACACTTAGTTCCTTTTCTCTATAGCATGAGAAAATCCAAGTTACTCAGGTGTGTAGGATGCTAGAAAGATTTTTATGGATAGGCTCTGCAACCATGCCAGAGACCTGAAATAATACTGGACCAGTCATACTGGGGGTTATACACCACAGCAGGCTGCAGCCCTTTTTTCAGGAGCTACTGTTTCTCAAGCCAAGGTCAGATACTCCACTGGGAGCAGGAGCTGTAGCAGTTAGCATGAGAGAGGCCTAGCTGACAACAGTGTTAGCTTTAGTAAATGAACTTTGGCTAACCCTATGGTGTGAGGGAGCAGCTTAGTTATGGGGTAGATGAGTAACTCAAGGAAAGCAGCCTGTTAATCACTGTGAAAGTTGCAAACTGGTTGAAAACCTTTTCTGATGAGCAGACTGCGAGCACCACGAGTGGTTACAACCAGTTGTTAGGAACCAAATGCAAGAAGTAGGCAACTAAGAATCTGGTAATCTCTACACAGTCCTAGAAATTACAGTGTTCAGAATCACTCAGGGAGAGGATCTAGGGTACCCCACGACCCTGCACCAGGAGTACAAACAGGATGGCTGGAACTACTACACTAATCCACCTGACTTTTCTTCTAGACTGCATCATCTCTCCTGTGGAACAGGGAAGCCATGTGATCAATAAGTTTCATATATCTGATTAAAATGCTTTGGTATCTGGGTCCACTTAGTCATCTGTCATCTGGTCTCAGAGTCTTACCAAGACAGGAGCAGAGGGAGGCTACACACAGGTTAGGGCAGCTGGCGTACAGAAATGTCCATATTCCTGAGCAGCAAAAATGAAATCAGATTCACCCAACTGGTAAAATCTGTTGAAGTGTGTATCTGTCAGCCAGGGACCCACTTGTTCGCACACCAGAGAACAGAAAGGCTTCTGGGAGCCCAACATGACCTAAGCTTCTCTGGATGTACGGAGCCCAAGTGGAACAGGACTCACAGTAGCACAGAAGGAAATCTAGCTGGACAACACATGTTGGAAAGGAGTTTAAATAACCACTTCTTTGAGCAATCTTCCACATGGATTCACCCTCAGCAACTGATTTGCAGTTGTTTATTCACTTGGTTTAGATAACTGAGTCCTATTTAAATGATGCCTGGATGTCAGCCTAAAGAATCACTGCCAGGAGTATTTGTAAGCTGGGTGGTGGAAATCCAAACAGCTGCTTTGCAAAATTCATCTGTGGGAACATCCTTCCAATATGCAGTGGAGGTGGCCCAGGCTTTTGTCTGTCTACACGAATCTATTCTGAATAAGGTGTTTTTTACTGCACAGAAATGCTCACTTTTAACTGTCACCCAAGGACCACAACTACATATGCAAGCTTACAAACACCAGGTAGGACAACAAGAGAAGAACATACTTTCAGAAGTGTAAGCACAGAGCCTTTCCCCAGGCTTTGGTGAAATCTGGGAAAGAGAACCAGTAAGAAACTTAGATGATTTTTGGGACAACCCTGATATAAAGTGACAGTGATCCTGTCCTACCTGTGTGGAGATATTCTCAACATAGCCCGGAAAACCCTCATGCTTTAGGCTGATGTATTGCCTGCTAAAGCAGCCTCCACTCAAAGGACATACAAAGTGCTGCCAGAGAGACACCAACAACATCATAATGAGGTTGCAAGAAGTGGAAACCAGGGAAATCTTGAACAATGTCCCAAGGGAATCCCCTCACTGTAGGATAAAGAGAAAACAGACTGTGGAAGCAGGGTAACATTACAATATTTTTGCATACTGATTTCTTATGGACCAGCAAATAGTTCGCTCTTGCTGAGAGGAGACACAGAAAAGGAAAAATCTGCTGATATATTTTTAAAAAAGGCTTTTCCACTCAGCTTTCCAAATCAATCTCAAGAGCTCCAAACCTGGCTAAAGGGCTTCTTTTGGTGGATGTCACCAAGCCAGCAGTCAGGCTGTTGGATGCAGTGATGTTAGAGCCAGGAAAAAGGCTTGACTTTTATTCTATAAAAGTGTCCAGAAGTCCTGGTAGGATGGGACAGCAAAGATCTTCAACAGATCTCATTATATGATCTGCCCCTCCCATTAGGCAAATAACATGTCCAGCTTGAGTTTGTCCCATTTTGTCAGAAACTTAATAGCATCAAGATGAGTAAAAAGTAACACATCAAGCCAGGGGATGGGAAAGGCCTCCCAATGGAAAAATGGATACATTACCCCTCTGAAAATGAATGTTTGAAATGCGGAGTTCTGGCATGCAGTAAGAAGACTTATCTCTAGGAATTCCCATTTACGGCATATTCCCCTGGGTGCCCAAGTGCCTGCCGATCTGCCAAGGAGCTCTAAAGGCCAGGAACACGCGCAGCCATTGCTGCAGGAGGATGCTGACTGCGCCAATTACAGCAAATAATCATGTTCCTTCTTGCCTCATGAAATAATACATAGCTGCAGTGTAGTTTGTTAGTACTTGCACTTCTGAAAAGGCAGGAATGCTCTGCATGTCAGATGGCAGGCTGCGAGTTTTGTGACCCTAGTGAGCCCCTTGAGGAGGCAGGGGTCTAAATTTGAAGGTAACGCAGACACTTCCACACAGGGATGGGAACTATCAAATAGAGATTTAGGCAGAGAAATTACAGATGCACTGCTGTGGTTAAGGGACTTATTGGGGGAGATATACACACACAACAGGTACTGAGAAGATATTGAAGTATCATACTGTTTTCATAGAGCTTGGGCAAGTACTTTGGGCTACAAGGCACAAGTGATTACAGTTGTGCCATAGGGAAGGAGATTTCAACAACACGTTTGTGAGAGAAGACACACAGCTGAGGAGATGTACCATTGTTTGGAGTCTCTTTCGGAAGACAGAGTCCAGGTCAAGGAGAGATCAGCAGTGATCTGATAAGATCTATGCTCCAAGTCAGATGATTTGCCTACTGACTTCAAAACAAAGACCTTTTTAATTATGTTAAATGAGTTGTTCACCCCTCCAAGTGAATTTCCTTGTAATAAGCCCAAATGTTGAAACATGGATAGACAGGTACTTTTTTTGCTTCCTTCAAGCAATCTGCTCTGACTGGAAAACACTTCCTGGATGCTTCTCAGTGTCATGAAAAGACGAGAACAATAGCACAAATGGTATGTTCAAACCAGAAATTTGAGCTGGGTGGAAACTGGGTGGATTGACATGTAATTAAAAAAAAAAAAAAGTCAAGGTGAATCTTAAAAGAGTTTAAAAACTCTGAGGAACTACTGAGGACATCCTGAATGTGAATTTATATTCACACCTTCACACATGAAGGTGTGAATATGGCAAAGGTTGAAGACAAAGCCCTTTGTCTTCAAAATCAGTAACAAGAATAAACCCTCCATTAATTACGTGGGGCCTCCTCTACTGCTGCCAGTTGTACTGTTGGGTTTTTTTAATTATTCTTTTGCAAATAGTTTCTTTTGGGAAAGTTCCTTGAAAAGATTTCAAGATGACCAGATGGCTGAATGAGACATCCATTGTAACAGCTGACCCCACCACTTGGAGGCAAGCCAAGGCCAAGCTTCCAGAAAAGTAAAAGATGATTGCCAATGTAGGGTGAAGGGAAAAACAGTATTAGTTCTATTAAATGCTCACTTTGGTATCAAATATGATCACGAATGAGAAGCCTCCAATTCTGGAGCAAAGGAAAAGGCTGAAGATTATTTATAGTGGATTTTGTCTCTTCTCCAGTAGCTCCAAGGTTTTCAGTTAACAGCAACACTTAGCAATAAAAAACTGTCTGAAGGGAGACTATTGACACAAATGGTTCTTCCTGGTGGTTAAGATCCAGTAATAACATATTTGAATCTTGTAAGGCATGGAAGGCCTCACCCTTCTGCTGCTGAAAACCCCACTGCTTTCAAAGAGAAGATTATACTTCTCAGTCCTCTCCAGGGGTGCCCAAGGACTGGAGCCTTAATGATCTCTTCCCAGCTGTTATAATGGCTATGATGCAAGACACACCAAGTACAACTGCAGCAAGTTAATCAGGCAGCCGTAGCCCCACATCACACCCTGGCCTCTTCCTAACCAGGGAATCAGTCCATGAACTAGGACAGCCAGTTCCAGTAAGAGAACAATCTGACAGTGAGCCACCCTGATCTGGAGGCTAACCAACGATTACACCCACTTAAACCACCAGCTGGTTTCTTTAAGGCTTTCTTTACCTAGAAGGCCCACAGTTATTTCGATTTCTTAAATTATGCCTTCTGCAAACTCCCTCACGGAATCCCTCCTGAACTCCTCTGGCATACCTGGGGAAGGGAGAACACACAGGTGGGAGATGATTCCTTGTTTTGCCTCTCAAGAGAAAAGAGCATACTTTCTCCAGAAAAAAAAAAAAAAAGTCTGTTTTATGAGGTGTTATTGTAAACTAAGCTGTAACAGTGTATTTTCAACAGCATTGCAGGGACTTCTCCAAGGAAATATACCCCCCATAAAACCATTTTGGCACAAATGGCTGGAACACAACTACTCAGTGTGACAGGAGAATTCCGTCATGGCACAGAGCATCAGGGAGTAGCCACTCCCAAGACAGAAGGTCCCAGGGCTCTGAGCACAGTAGCTTGAAACACAGCTGGCACCAGGGTAGCCGGCAGGGCAAAGCAGTTTTGCAAGTTACAGAAGCCAAGAATATGGTATGCCAGAGACAACCACTGGCATTGCAAAAATCTAAGTATCATCTCGTTGAAACAAATACCACTGTCAATAAGATGGAAGTCTGATGACCTTTTTGTCCATCTGAAGGCGTCAGAGAGCAAAATCTGCATCTCATTCCTTGACAGGCGCTCCTTCCAGTAGGAGATGCCCATTGAGAAGCCATGCTAACATCAGAGAGCAAACTTCCAAGTAGGATTTGAGCATTCTGCAGCAGAAAGCAAGAAAGCAAATCAAAAGGGTTCAGAGCTCATCTTTCTATTAGAGGCCACTGCCTCACTCTCCTGTGAAACAGGGGTTCCAGACTGTCTTCTGCTTTTTGAAGCAGACAGAACAGACTCTGAACAAAAGTTTTTCTCCAAAGCCATGTGGGAACCACTTGCAATTACCCACAAGCCAAAGCCTTGGATGCTGTAAAACATGACCTCTGTAGCCTCTGCACACAGGAAAAAGAACGTCACGATACAAATTCAATACTGACCAGACACTGTACTCTGGCTGAAAGTAAGGCATCTGCTTACCTGTACTCTTTCTTACTACCATAGATGGTGGCAAAAATGGTCACAAAACTATGTACCTGCTTATATTTTAATTCGCATGGAAGATATGCATGTATAGGAGGGAGAGGCCCGAAGTCCTGTTTGATGCAACTCTGCATACCTCACAGGTGAGAAACTGTAACCCCAGATATGACCCTGTGTGAAAATTACACACAGAGGGCCACACCAGGAAAGTGACATGGGTCCCAACCCCAGACTTCCAAGGAGGGAGCACAGAATCTCAGAAGAAATGAAGAAACCTCCACGGGGAACACCAGCAGGACGACTACAGCCAGGTTCTCCTGACAGGACACCCACCTCTCCAAGAGAAGCAGACGGGGAATTCTTCCTGCTGAGATTTTCATCTGGGAAGAAGTCTCGGCGGGCTCGGCGGCTCATCGTTAGTACCTGCAGCGCGGGGGGAGAGGCCAAGGAGCAGAGGGCACAGGGCGACAGCCGCCTCAGAGGGGGGAACCCCCCAGCAGCAGCCCCTCTGCGGGTACACGCTGCCCCGCAGCCAGGCAGGCCCCCCCCCGCACCGCAAAACCATCGCCAGCCGCAGGTGTCAGCCCCGCGGCCGGGTCGCGCTCCCCGGTCCCACCCGCGGGCTGCTCCGCCCTTCCCCGCCGCACCCTGTCCCCCACAGAAGCCGAACCCCGCCGCCGTAACCACGGAAAGCCCGAGCAGGCCTCCCGGGAGGGAGGGAGGGACGACACCGTACCCCCGCCTCCGCCGCCGGCCCCAAACCCAGCCCCCGTGCGAACGGACCGCGCTGGAAGAGCCGCCGCTCGGAAGAGCCTGGAGCCCCCCCCATCCCCCGCCACCGGGACCGGCCCTGAGGCGGCCGCTCGCGCCCC